GGATGGGCATTTGTTCGTCAGATTTTGGGAGTAGAGTAGCCGGATTGAGGCCAGCGGTGGTGGCAAACTTAATGTGTGGCTGTTTTAATAAGAGTCCTTGATATTGTAACAGTCTGGCATTAGACAGCCATTTGCTAGGTGAGCTGTTTAACAAGGGCTCAATGGCATGGGGAGTGATCAAAGTTAAATCCTGTCCAAAGGTCAATTTGTCAGCCTCTCGGGTTAAAGCAGCTGCTGCTGTTATTGTCCTCAAACAATTAGGCCACCCTTGGGCCACCGGGTCGAGCTTTTTTGAGAGGTACGTCACAGGCCGCTTTCATGGCCCCAAAAGCTGAGTAATCACTCCCTTAGCCACCCCATTTTTCTCTGTCACATACAAGGTAAAGGCCTTGTTTAATTCTGGCAATGCCAGGGCTGGTGCTGATGCAAGTTCAGTCTTAAGCAATTGAAATGTCTGCTGGCAAGCCTCAGTCTATTCGAGGGGTGTATTTCCTCCCGCAGTGGCCTCATGTAGGGGTTTGACAATCTCAGAAAAGCCAGGAATCTAAATCCTGCAATAGCCAACTGCCCCTAGGAACTCTCGCACCTGTTTTTATGAGCCTGGCTTCAGAATCTGGAGAATTGCAGATACTCTCGATTCTGCCAGCCTCTTTTTTCTCTTTTTAAGAATATAGCCCAAGTAGGTTACCTCGATCAGGCAGAGTAGAGCTTTTTTTCAGGACACCTGATATCCCAGTTTCTGGAGGGCTTTCAGGAGGCCCTTGGTGGCTGCAATGCATTTTTTATCAGTTGAAGTCGTCACCAGGAGGTCATCAACATACTGAAGAATAGTCACGTGGGGAAACACTTTTTTTTCCCTCTTGCAGATCTTTGCTGAGAGCTTTTCCAAACAGAGTGGGGAGTTTTTGAATCCCTGCGGCAGCCGGGTCTATGTCAGCTGTCCGGTTGTTCCGGTGTCTGGGTCAGTCCATTCGAAGGCAAAGAGGGGCTGGCTCACAGGTGCTAGAGGCAGGCTGAAAATGCATCTTTAAGGTCTAATACTGAGTACCACACAGGACCGGGAGGGACGAGACTCAACACAGTATAGGGGTTTGGTACTGTTGGGTGAACAGTCTCCACCTGGCTGTTTACTTTTTATAAATCTTGTACCTGTCTGAAGTCTGAGGTGTCAGGCTTTTTTACGGGAAGCAGTGGTGTATTCCAGGCTGTCTAGCAAGGGATCAAGATGCTGGCTTTCTGGAGTCAGTGGATGTGTTTGGAGATCTCCACCTTGGCCTCACCAATCTTTTTTTTTTTATTTTTTTCTGTATTCCTTTCAGATAAAACCTCTATCTGCCAAGGCTGTAATGTTCTCCTTTTTTATCTTTTTAGCCATTTTATCCTCAAAAGGATCTCTATTGTTAAACACCTTTATTGCCACACTCATCAACTTTTTTTTATTCTCTCTCTCAAATCCTTTCATCCGCTGCAGTTTCTTTCTAATATCTGGGGCCGACTGAGTAACAAAAGCCAAATTAATTGCCTGTCGATTTGTAGGGGCATCTGGGTCAATTGGAGTATACGTATGGTATGTTTTCAACAGACGCTCCAGAAAGGCAGAAGGGGATTTCTCAGGTCCTTGAAGGACCTTGCTTACCTTGCTCAAATTGGTAGTCTTTCGAGTGGCTCCCCTCAAGCCAGCTAGGAGATGCTGACGGTAGTTTTGGAGAGCTTCTCTCCCGCCCCAGGAATTAACTTGTCATGGGGAACGGGTGGACAGAAGTTGTGCCTCAATACGGGCCCGGTGTTGTTCATCAAGTGGGCCCTCTGTTCTTCCCAACACTGATTTTATGGCTTGCCCTTGGATCCTTTCTCTTTTCTCGGAGGTAAAAAAAAAGGGCTTGGAGAAGTTGTTAACAATCATCTCAGGTGGGCTGATGGGTGAACAAGACAGTTTCTAACAGGTTAATTAAATCCCTAGGGTTATCAGAGAATTTGGCGTGCTGAGTACGCTAGTTGTAAAGGTCACTGGTGGCGAAGGGCCAGTAATGATGAGGCTGGTTACCATGTTCATCAGGAGGCCCTATCGCTCTCAGCGGGAAAACAGTAGAGTCCGCTAGCGAGACGGCGCGCCGGTGGCGAGTGTTCTGGGCGGGGCCATCCCCGCTGCCCGCACCCGGTGCCGGCCCCTCCTCCCCTGCTCTGGCGGGGGCCGGGACCTCTCTCCCCGCCTGTTGTTGTGGGGGAGTAAAGAGAGAGTTGAAAGCGGGGGAAAGGAGATCTTCCTCGGTTCCTCCTTGGAGGACCGGGTAAAGCGGCGTGGTCTCGGTTTGCCTTTTTCCGTCGCGCTCCCTGGGAGTCTTCTCACAGGCTGTCAGGATTACCTCCGGCTGCTGTTTCTGTGGAGGCAGAAAGGGCTTGACCCATGGGGGTGGGTTACAGATTAGACTCTCCCAAGTGACAATGTAGGGGACCTGATCAGGATGTCCGGTGTAGGGACGGAAAACAGCTCCACGGACCCTCCATGTGATCTGCAAATCAAAAGTTCCCTCGGGGGCAGGGGGCCATCTCTTCTCAAAGGAAGGCCACTCCGAGCTACACAGGGTGACAAGTCTAGACTTTTTTATCTCTAAATTTAGACTATGAGCGCGCTCCCTAACCTCTCCAAAGTGGTCCATCATGAGGGACAGGGGGGTGGTCGCAGTCTGTCTCATCGTCTCAGTCCAAGTCACCACAATAAACAGACAACACAACAGCAGGAAAAAGCAAGACAAAATTGTCCTCCACCCAATTGGAGGCAACACCAAAAAAAATGGGACTTCGGCCTCACGCCGTACTGCGGGAGCAACCCGCACCGTCCCCCTAGGAGTCTCACAGACTCGTACTCATGGGGCACTTTTGTCCCCTCCTGACGGATCCGGAACGTCTTCCAGGAATCCCGGGTCAGCGGCCCTCGCAGCACGTCCGCCTAGACCATTGCCCGACCTACTCAGAATTGGGCCCCCTGGAATGCAGACAAACAAGGAGACACCAGACACTCACCAGTCAGTGTCGACCCTCCAGTACAGAGATCCTGAGGGTCTTGGGGACCCTGGACGAGCCCCCAAATGTTGTGTCCAGATCGCGAAGTCCCAAAGACCCCCAGGAAGCCGTTTTCGATGTAAGCACACGAGGGTCGTTTATTTAAGCTCGAGCAGGGACTCTCAACTGTCACCGATGCAGCGGGTCAAGATTGAGAGTCTTGACTCTAAAACATTAGGGGTTTTTATAGAGGTTACAGCAAGGCGTGGGGTTTTGAAAAGGCGCGGGGTTTCAAATCACATGCAAATCACGCAATTGGCTAGCATTTAGCAAGTTTTGAAAGTTTAAACCTAATTGGCTGGGCCTTGCGCGCTGAACTGCAAACGGCTGCTCAAGTCATCGAAAAGAACATCTGGGATACTGGGGTATTGGGGTAACTACTGATTAGCTGTTGCAGGCCAACGAGAAGAGCATCTGGGACATTGAGGCAGCTACCGATTAGCTGTCGCTAGGCTAGTTGTTAGGGGACTGCTGAACATTATCACAGGCAGGTGGCCAAAGTGCATCTTGTGGGTTTTTTTGGAACTAGAATTTATGTCCAGGCCACCTTTACTCTAAAATGGGGCCAAAATTTTAAAATGGAGTCACTCAGGTCTCACAGTATCACTCTGGCTTCATGATCAACATGAAGTAATACAGGAATTATGTAAAAGGGAAGAACTGTATGATAGTGACCTGTTAGGAGTCAGAAGGTCCTTGGTTTGTACATTTAAAGTTCCTAAGATTATGGCTTTCCCCCTGCTTGGCTGTATAGCACACTGTTTTAATCCACAGTTGTGCCTTACTGTCCCATTAAAATTGTATTGTTCATTCTGTCAATAAATACTAGTGGTTAAAATAAAATAGAAAGACAAGAAGAATCCAAATCTGAAATTAATGAAAGGGAAAAAATTATAAATATCAGAGCAGAAATTAATAAAAATTAAGACTAAAAAAGTATGTACAAATGATCACTGAATAGAGTTGGTTCTATTGCTGGGTGTGGTGGAGCACACCTGTCATCCCAGCACTCTGGAGGGTGAGGCAGGAGGGTCACAAGTTCCAGCCCAACCTGGACACCTGTGTGCCTTAGGAAGATCCTGTCCCTAAACAGAAAACTTAAAAAGGGCTAGCCAATTGTGAGATGGGAAGCCTGGGATGAGATGTTACCCAATCCTGACATCAAAATATTTTCCCTAAAAAATTTGATAAATGCTCCTTTTTTTCTGCTTATTTTGGAGACAGGGTCTTGGTTAGTTGCCCAGGTAGGCCACAAACTGGAAATCCTCTTGTCTCAGCATACTGAGTGCTGGGAAGATAGGTGTGCACCACCAACCAAGCTAAAAGTGCCACTTTGGTGGGATACCATGGAGAAAACAAGACACACACAGGACACACACACTCACACAAACACCCTGCATCCCAAGCCTTCTCCTCCCAGCAACAGAAGCAGAGAGAATTTGAGGGTGGGAAGACTGAGTCCACCCAGGAGGCTCTGGGGGTCCCAGGAACAGGTTTCTATCCAGAGCTTACCCAGGAGGGAGGCGACACTAGCGTGTCCTGGCTTGGCAAACCCACCAGGACCTCTGTCCTCTTCCCTGCCCTGTCTACCTGGACCCTGGAAGAACCCAGCTGGTGACCCAGACTGCTGCCCAGCCCCAGGCCCCTCCTTGATCGCTGGACCCCAGTGTCCTTGGGAGCAGCTGGGCTGCTGGCTGGGGCAGAGAAGAGATGGGGAGAGGCCCGGCCTAGAGGGCCCCCTGCATGCTGGGGTGGGTGGGAATCTTTCCTGACCAGCTCTTACCTGGGGCAAGGACAAGGGACAGCTGCTTCCTGGGGCGCTGATGGAGCAAACAGGAGAAGGAAGGAGGAAGCATGGCCACACCCAATGCCTAGCTCAGTCCAGCTCCCTGTACCATTGGTCAGGTGACCGGGGAGGGGGGTGCCATTGTGTACAAAGTTCGCCTCTCACACAGCCAATTGCAGGGCTGTCCTCATTCATCCCAGTTAAACTCAGTAGGAGTGCTGTCCAAAGTTCAAGGCCCCACCCTGGCGTTATGACAGGTTGTGTGGCCTTAGGCCACAAGTGAAAAGTTGCAGTGGAACCAGTGGTTCTCAGAGTGGGTTCCACTGGGGGTCCCAGGGTTCCTTGGGATGCAGGACAGAAGCAGCATCCTCACCTTTCCACCTTTGCTTCTGCCTGATCCTATCCTCTCCTTCTGTCCATCCAGGCACAGCCTGCTGCATACCAGAGCCCGAGGAGACAGTGGGAAGGAAGTGGGCAAGACAGTTGGAGCACTGGATGAGCTTGGCCACCAGAGGAATGGATTCCAGATCTTCAGGTCTGTACAGAAACGCAGAGGTGCCCAGGTCCCTTGTGTGACAGGGAGACGATTTCCACAGAACCTGCACATCCTCCCGTAGACACCAAGCGTCTGTAGACGGCATGCAGTGGGTAACACATTGTAAATGGTATGAAAACATTTATTTTAAGGCAGGTGTTCCCAACCTTTTTGGCACCAACTATTCATTTTGTGGAAGACAGTTTTTCCATGGACCAGAAGGCAGGGATGGTTTTGAGATGGAGGCGAAGCACCCGACTCTCCTATTTTTCTGTGATGGCTGGAGGAGGGCGTGGCTTGGCCAGCGGCAGCCACCCCCCCCCTCCCCTTTGTCCCCCTCTCCCCTCATGGACCGAGACAGTTTGCTTCAGTGTCCTCCCTGGCTATCTAGCAGCCACTGTTATCCACTCCACTCTAACACAGTGCAGTTCCACTGTGAGCTGAGTGCTCCTCCCCTGCTCTGGCTACTTCAGATGTGCTGCTGCTGCCCTTTGAAGAAGAGAGAGGTGCCCTGGTGTAGCTGAGACCAGGGGGGGAAGTATCTGGGCCCATTGTTAGCAACCCAACCCCTCAGCTGGCCTTCCAGAAGATTCCCTGCTTTCAGCCCTGCCCCCTCCCTTGACCATCACCATGACTGCTGAGGCTGTCCTGGAGCACTGCACCAATCACAGCCCTATGCTTGGACCAATCACAGGCCTACAGCTGCTATATAAGCAGCACTCTGCACACACTTCTGGGGTCAGTGTAGGAGGGCTCCCTCCAGGACACTGACCCCTGTGCTGCAGCACAGGCCCTGTTAAAATAGACTTGCTTTGGGATCCTGTAAACCTGCTCTTGATTTATTTCTCAGGTAGTATGGGCTCCAAAAGTCCTGCAGATCTACTCAGGATCCTTATCCTGTCGTGTGGACAGAGCAGTGGTCTCAAAAGAAAGAACAATAGACACGAAGGGCTGTTAGCCCTGCAGAGCTCCAGAGACGAGCAGCCAATGAAGATCAGCAGCAGAGACCAGCACTAGGTAGAGTTGACTTATAGTGTCCAGCATAAGCCTGTGGTAGCCAGCAGCAGCTGGAAGCAGCACTGACCAGCAGCCAGCTGTGTTAACTGTTGGCCTCCAGCATTATCGGATGTCATCTGGTGACATCAGTACTGCTAGTAGAGCTGCACTTTGCCAATTCATGATTTCCATGTGAACTGAGCAAAGGAACCTTCAACTTACTGTCAGCAGTTTTATGATTATCAAGTGCATTCTATCTAGTGCATGGTTTCTACTATTACATTATAATATTTAATAAAATAATTACAGGGGCTGGGGATTTAGCTCAGTGGTTACACCACCTATCTTGCAAGCATAAGGACCCAAGTTCGATCCCCAGTGCCAAAAAAAAAAAAAGTAAAATAATTATACAGCTCATCACAATACAGATCAATGAGCCTGGCATAGTGGTGCACGTTTGTAATCCTAGCATTCAGGAGGCTGAACCAGGAGGATCACTGTAAGTTTGAGACCAGCTTGGGCTACATGGTGAGTTCAAAACATCCTGAACTACATAGCGAGACCTTGTCTAAAAAAAACAAATATAAGGGCCGGTGATTTAGCTCAGTGGTTTCACTGCCTGCTGTGCAAGCACAAGGACCCGAGTTCGATTTCCGGTACCAAAAAACCCCACAAAAAAACAAAAACAAAAACAAATACAGATCACCGAGAGCCCTGAGCTTGGTTTCCTGCAGCTAGATGGTCCCATAGGGGGGTGACTGAGGACAGCAGGACCCTGGGTATGTTCCTTATGGCCAGTCTATTCCATAATCTCTTTTTAGTTACTGTCATTGCAGAAAACCCTGCTTCACAAAGATAGGATGCTGGAAATGGAAGCCAGCTATTCTATTCTTTTTTTTTTTTTTTTTTTTTGTACCAGGGATTGAACTCAGGACCTTAGCGCTTGCAGTGCAGGTGTGTCGCCACTGAGCTAAATCCATGGGCAGCTATTCTATTCTTTTGTGGCAACCTCTGGGTATTCTACCTTGACTTTTATCCAAAATGTACAGAGACTTGAATTTGTCTCAAACATTCTTTGAAGTCCACTCTCATTTGCAATCTCAAGCAGTTGCTCCTCTTCTAACATGGAAAAAGCTGAATGACTTGACTTACAACTGGGTCATGAATCCATTCCTTCCCAGTTTTGGGGCCTCTTGTGGTTTGGAAGTAATGACAAATCTCTTTGAAAGCTGAGATAGGTGATCATGCACCAGCTGAGAGAAAGAAGGTCCTGGCTCTGTCTCTTTCAAAATCTTTGCTAATGTTTGAAACATGTCAAGATCCCCAATGTTCACTCTGAGCCCCCATAATTGCAGTTTGGCCTTGAATGCAGCCGCTTTATCTGCTGACTTGAACACAGTTTTCATTGTCTCCTGAAGTCACAGGCTAGTTCACTGAACAGGTTAAATATTTCACAAAAGTAAGCAAGTATAGGGCCGGGGATTTAGCTCAGTGGTTTCGCTGCCTGCTGCGTAAGCACAAGGACCCGAGTTCAATCCCTGGTACCAAAAAAAAAAAGTAGGCAAGTATTGAGACCTATTCAGTGTCACTCAAATGTGTGGCCAGTGGTGACTGTTTTTCTAAAGGAAATCTCTGGTGCCACTCTCATACCTCACAAACTGGCCAGTGGTCTACTTTTAGAAAGCCATCTAATTTCAGTATGTAGAGAAAATGAATGTGCTCTGAGTCCAATTTCTCACAGAGCTGCATGAACATCAGTTGAGGACATGTGCTTTAATATGGTTGGTTGATCATATTATTGGTTGAGTTTCTCTGGAGGAACAGAATCAATATAAAATCTAGGTGTAATATACAAAGGAATTTATTAGGGAGGCTGACAGGATCAGGAGAGCCCCAATGCAGGATGATGCGGGATCAGAAATGAATGAAAAATGGCCACCTGCACACTGGAGACCTCGAGGACACAGTAGCAGTTGAAGGTCGAATGCCTGGAAGCTCACTGTAGAGTCACTGATGTGTCTGTATTGGAAGACTGAAGAGTCGGCACTGGAAGAGTGAAAAACAAAAAACAAAAAACTGGAGAGCAATATCCAAAGGAAATGGTGAAGACCGGGGCTCTTCCAAGAAAGAGAAAAACTTCCTTCTTTCCTTTTTTACACTGTGCAAGCCACAAGCCTATTGTTTGGCTCCAGCCACATTTGGGATAGGTTGTCCCCCTTAGTTTGCCAGTCTACATGTGGCGCATCCACAGACACACCCAGAGCCTACTAACCTGCTAGGCAGTTCTTATTCAAGTGAAGTTGACATATCATAATCAACAATCACAGTAATTTAAATCAGGTCATGCAAAACATTGCTGAGTTCAGTTGACATTTTTCAGCTAGCCCGCCTTTTGCGGTGGATGACACATTACATAGACTCACATTCAGAAGCAACTTGTTTGACCTGAGAAGGGATACCAGAAAGCCATTCAGTCATGGTAGCTGCTCCCTGCAGGCACATAATGACACAAAATGACCGACCCAGCTTCGCTGATAGGTAATCCTTCAAAAACTTGAACAGTTCCACAGTTGGTGCTGGTTGGCAACCAAAGTTCCCATAACAGGGGCAGGAGATTTAGTTCAGAGGCACAGCACCTGCCGTGCAAGCACAAGGTCCCGAGTTCAATCCCTGGTACGAAGCAACAACAATAACAAAGTACACAAAACATATCTTCATGCACATCCTTCTGAAAATGTAGCACACAAAAACAGTCCTTATGGTCAACACCATAGACTCATCAACCTAGGCTGTGTTACTGGAGAGACTTATTAATCCTAACATTTGTGCTTCATTATCCTCTGCTATTTCATCAATTCCTCCAGTTACGGTGCTAGCTGAAACAGGAACACCTGCACTTTTTGAACTGGAGCCTCTCCTAAAATTTTACAACAGATGACTTCAGCAGCAGCCGGGGTCAGCTCCTCACCAGTGCTAAAGGGCTCCTTAGCTTTAGCCATTCCGGGAGCAGCTAAGAATGAGGCTCCCATGCAGACACTGGATGAAGTGGGCTTCCATAACTGCTTCCATAACTGCTTCTGTCCTTCATTTTTTTCTTTTCAAAAACTCCAGAGACTTATCTTTTAATGCAAGGTCCTTGGTTGCCAAGTGGCAAAGCAGTTTTGAAGGTGTCCTGGCTTTGCTGGATAGCTGGTCACCACATATTGCACAAAGTGGCTTGGAGAATGTAAATCTCATCCTGGCATCAGCTAGTACTTTAAAGAGGGCTCTTGGTGTTTGTTTCTTTTAATTGCAGCTTTCTTTTCATCGCCAATCTTAGAGTCTTTTGCGGGCCCATCGTTGGGTCTTTCCCTGTATTCAAAGAGGCTCTCCAGTGACATTTATTTTTAACTCATTTTGGCTAGGGTTAGCTTGTAGGCTCACCAAAACTGTGACTAAAACAAGTTCTCGGTCCAAAAAAGAAGTGCAGGTGGAAATGGTCAATAAAATAATGAGAGGGCCACATGCAGACTAAACTAAGTGTCAGATTCTGACTTAAAGCCTGCCCCTGGATGAAGCTGTACCATTGAATTACATCAACTCACTTGCCACTACAAAGCCTGCCACCAGACACAGCTCAATGTCACTTGCCACTCACTGATAAGGTTCTCTTATGAGTCTGCGAGCAATTGATTTATGGCCTCTGTGTAGTCACACCTCTGCTAATGTTAAACTGTATTTGCAGCCGCTCCCCAGGGCTGGCATCACCACCTCAGCTCCACCTCAGATCATCAGGCATTAGACTCTCATAAGGCTCACTCAACCTCATTCCCACACATGCACAGTTCGCAGTGGCTTTGTGCTCCTCTGAGAACCTAATGTCCTGCTGATCTGACAGGAGGCAGAGCTCAGGGAGTGGCTGAAGTGGCAGGGAGTGGCGGGGAGTGGCTGGAAATACAGAGGGAGCTTTGGTCACTGGTCTGCCACTCACCTTCTGGTGTGTGGCCTGGTTCTTAAGAGGCCACGGACAGGAATCAACCCTGTACTAGATGACATCATTCCTCCAGATGTGAAAATCAGAAATATCTCTGGATGTCACCCAGTGTCCCTGGTTCTGGCCAAAAGCAACCTGTGGTGAGAGCTGCTACTCTGGAACAAGGAGAGGACACATCGGTTTTCCTTTTGTCACACCCATGTGGAAAATAGGGACAGGAGGGCCTGTCTGCATGGCCCACTGGCAGGAAACCATGGCAGGGCTGTCAGAAGCTGGAGGAGCCGTCCCTGGTAGGTCAGATGGGATGAGGTCCCCGCAGCCTGGCTACCACAGCCAAGGTCCCCCGCAGGGCAGGGAGGCTCATGTAGGGTAACAACCAGTAGGCAATGTGTCCCCCAGCAGGTGAGGCCGCTGGCAGGTGAGGTCCCAGGGTGCCGGTTCTGGAGCAGAGTTGAGCAGCAGGTGACATCCTAGACCAGTGCTGGCGAACTCTTAGAGACCAAGTGGCCAAACTGCACCCCAAAACCCATGTATTTATCACAAAGTGCCAACACTACCATTAAACCCGAATACCAAGGTTTTGGTTTAGAAAAAACAACTCACGATGCCATCACAGAGAGGACTCTGTGTGCACGCTGTGGCATGTGTGTCATAGCTTTGCCATCATGGTCCTAGGTATGGGGATGTCTGCAAAGTGCCCTGAAGGTGAGGCCCCAGGGAGGTGAGAGCCACACAGGTAATTCCCCAGCAGGTGAGACCCAGGTGGGTGAATCCCCAGGAGCCACATTGCCAGCAGGTGAGTCCTGCAAAGGTGAGATCCCAGACAAGTGAGGGCCCTGCAGGTTGGACCCAGGAAAATGAGACCCCAAATAAGTGAGACTCCCGAAGGTGAAGCCTAGGAAGGTGAGTCCAGCAGGTAAGTCCTCAGCAGGTGAGACGCAAGACAGGTGAGATCCCAACAGTTGAGTCCCCAGGCACTGAGACCCCAGATTGGTGAAACCCCACAGGTGATTCCCGCAGCAGGTGAGACCAGGGCAGATGGGACCCCAGACAGGTGAGACCCCGCAGTTAAGTGAGTCCCCCAGTGTTGAGACTCCCTGCAGGTAAGTACACTGGGAGGTGCATCCCCCCTCAGGTGTGGCCCACCCAGGTGAGTCTCCACAGGTGAGTTCCCCGGGGAGGCCAGGCTGGCTGCATCATGTGAACCAGGCAGCAATGCTGCCCACCGTCTGGTACCTGGGCCCCTCCTGCAGCCGCCAGCAGGCCTTGCAGAAAGCCAGGGCCCAGCTACTGGTGCCCACCCGTAGCGTCTCCCGCCAGCGGAAGTAGCTCAGGTAGCGGGCATCGTCCTTGTCCAGTGCCAGCAGGTGCTGCGCCAGGGCCTGGGGGCTCGGGAAGTCGTCGACGTGGATGAAGGCGTCGGGCGGCAGGAAGCGCTCATAGTTGCTCCGGCTGGGGCCCAGGACCACGGGCACAGCGGGCGCCTGCAGTGCGTTCTTCCAGAGCTTCTCCGTGATGTAGTCGGGGTGCTGCGAGTTCTCAAAGGCCAGGTAGAACTTGTACCGGGCCAGGTGCTCCTGCATGGCCTTGTGGGGCAGCGGCAGGTGGCGCGAGCCGTACACGTCCACCCGGAGGTGCGCCCGCAGCTGGTTGTAGTACCGCACCCTGGCTGAGTTCTCTTTCCAGTTGGACACAGCCCAGGCCACCAGCCGGGTCTTGGCCGAGAGGTTGACTGGCAGGGCAGTGGGGTGGCCTTCCCGGGGCTCCAGCCAGCCGTAGGGCGTGAAGATGTCTGAGTCGCTGCGGTAGGACATGGTGAGGTTGAAGTAGCCATCCAGGGCCCGCAGCTGGCTGCAGTGGCTGGGCGACTCCATGCTGAACCACACCCAGCGCTGGCCTGGTGGCCGAGGTGAGGGTGGGAGCTTTGTCTTGGGCCCGTAGCTGACCTCCCGGTGGTGTACGATGACCGCGTCTGCCCCGGGGTACACGCTGCGGTTGGCGGTTATGTGGCAGTGGGCTGTGCCCGGCCGTATGTCCGAGCAGCGGGACAGAGACACCGGGCTGTTGAATGGCCACGTCCACAGCAGGATGAGCAGGGCCCGGGGCCCGGTGGGCTGTGTGGGGGACGCCAGCCCTGCAGACCCACAGGGAGCTGTGGGGACAGGATCCGTGGCACTGGGCCCTGGTCTAGGGGACCCTGTGGGATGGTCCTGTGACACTCGCAGGTAAGAGAAGAAGCAGACAGCCAGGAGCAGCTGTAAGAGCAGCCCGGAGAGACAGTGCCGCCCGGGACACTGGAGCCGCTCCATGGGTCAGGGCTGCTGGGGGAGAGGAGAGGACAGAGCGTTATGGATGAGAGCCACCACGTCTAGGGGGAACGTGAGTGACACAGTTAATGTTGGAGATCTGCCACAGGAAGTGTTTGTATCCCTCTTTCACAGAGGACGAAGCTGTGACCAAGGAACTCACAGCAAAGAAACAGCAGGGCTGGATTTCTGTTTCATCTCCCGGAAGAAAGTTAACCATAGACTCGCCATGTCCCAGTGGTTCCCACATGGGGCTGCAGGAGAAAATGGAAAGCTGCTATCGGAAGGGACACTGGACACCGATTAGCAGCATCAGTCCCAGCAGACAAAAGGTGGATGCACCCCAGGCCCACTGCAAATGGGTAATTACAGAGTGGTCCATCCACATGGCAGAACATTACAGAGCCACGAAAAGGAAGAAGTCCTACCGCTGCTATGGCATGAATGGACCATCAGCCTTGGTCAGCGAGAGAAGCCACCCACAGAGAACACACAGTGTGTGACCTATGGACAGAAGTATGCAAAACAGGACAACTCATGGAGAGGGATGGTGACTGGAATATACTGGGGCTGGTGTGTGGTCAAAAAAAGAAAGAAAAGCAGCGAGCTGAGGAATTGCACGCCCATGATGTTGTTTTAGGAAACCGTGGAGTCCTTGGGGCCAGGCAGGGCTGGGCAGGAACTTGAGCAGGAGAGTTTCCAGCGGGGGGGTCCTGGACTGAGATGTCACCCAACACTGACTCCGAGATATTCTTCCAAGAAAAATGCTGAAAACCGATGCTTGTTTTGCCTGATTATTTGGAAACAGGGTCTTGCTAAGTTGTCCAGGCTGGACTTGAAGTTGGGATCCACCTGTCTCAGCCTTCTGATTGCAGGGATTACAGGTGTGGACCATGATGCCAGTGTGAAAATTGGCACTTTGTTGGGACACCACAGACAAAACAAGATACACACACACACACACACACGCACGCACGCACGCACGCACGCACCCACGCATGGACACACACTACACCACCCTCCTCCATCAGCAGAAGCAGGGAGGATCTGAAGTTGGGAAGACTGAGTCCACCCAGGAGGCTCTGGGGGTCTAGGAAGCAGTTTTCTATCCAGAGCTCGGCCAAGAGGGAGGCGACACCAGAGTGTCCTGGTTTGGCAAACCCACCAGGGCCTCCATCCCCTTCCCCGCCCCATCCACCAGGACCCAGGCTGCTGCCCAGTCCCAGGCCCCTCCCGAGCCTCGGACCCCAGTGTCCTTGAGAGCAGCCCAGCTTCGGGATGAACCAGAGCCAGGGGGCAGGGGTAGAGAAGAAGCGGGGAGCGGCCCGGCCTAGAGGCCCCCAGGGTGTCTTTCCCGACAGCCCTTACCTGGGGGTCCACAAGGCAATCACAGGAGCCCAAGGACTGGGGACAGCTGCTTCCCAGGGTGCTGAGGGAGCGAAGGAGAGAAGGAAGAAGGAAGTGTAGGCACAGCCAACACCTGGCTCAGTCCACCTCCCTACAGTGTCATCAGGTGACCCAGGGTGGCCTGTCAGGAACAGATCCAACCCATCTTTCGAAAGGTATTTTTGGGGGCAGGGATTTAGCTCAGTGGTTTCGCTGCCTGCTGTGCAAGCGCAAAGACCCGAGTTTGATCCCCGGTACCAAAAAAAAAGGTATTTTGGCACTTCCTAATTTGTGTCATTAGACTAGACAGGAGGGGTGCAGAAAGTTCATGACCCCATCTGTGCCCTTGTGTGAGGCACACAGGTAACTCCTCCAGAAGTGCAAATTTTGACTGAAATCATTGGTTCTCAAAGTGGGTGATGAGGGGCACCCAGGGTTCCTTGGAATGGCAGGTGGGGATTGGCTGGTGAGCAAAATCTCCTTCTTCCCACCTTTACTTCTACCTGCGCTACTCAGACCCTCCTCCTTCTCTAAAAGAGGCAGAAAGGCATTTCCAAGTGGAGGGCATAATGTCAGCAAAGGCCCTGAGGCAGTGGAGGCCCAGGGACATTAGACTCCCAGGGAGACTCAGGAAGCTGCATCTTTAGGAGTGAGAGGTGAGAGCTGGTGCCAAGGTTGGGGTCTTACGGAGCCACATCTGGCCAGGCCAGGGAGGCAGCATTCACTCGCTATGAGGCCACAGGGGCTGTGCCAGGGGCCAAGCAGAGGGCTGACGCTCGCGGCGCAGATGTGGTGTCAGGCAGGTGCGCAGGAGCCGACAGCACTGGGTGGCGGCCGAGGCCCAGGTCTGGCTGCCAGGGTGACTCAAAACTAATCTTTTTCTTCCTCTTCCTCTCCTTTTCCAGGTTCTCTTCCTTTTTTTTTTTTTTTTTTGTGCTGTAGTAGGGATTGATTGAACTCAGGGCCTTTGCACTGAGCTGCATCCCTAGCCTTTTATATTTTTATATTTTGGGACAGGGTCTTGCTAAGTCACTAAGCTGCCCAGGCTGGCCTGGAACTTGCAATCCTCCTGCTTCAGCCTCCCAGAGTGTCGAGGTGATAGGTGTGCACCACTGCCCCTAGTCTTTTCTTCTATGAGCCCTTAGTCACTAGAGAAATTCAGGGAGCCCCCTGAGCTTCCTGGGTCGGCCAGAGGAATTCTAGAAGACTGGTTTTGAGAGAAGATGGTCTTAACCTGCAAGAATGTCCCTGTTCTTCAGATCACTTCTGCTTAGTAGGGCAGGAGGCTGGGAGTTTCCTGGGGCCGGGTGTTTGCAAACAACTGACCTGGGTCTATTCAGTGCCTATCCCTGGGATGGCTGGGTTTTGTGTGACTTATTGAAACATAACATTGCCTTTCAGTCTTAGTGTCACTGTGTCCTAGGCCCCTGGCCAGCCAGCTCACGTGGACTCCAAAGCCCTGGAGGGAGACTTCCTTGCTCACAATCATTTGCAATCTCAAATATAGCGAGCTGCCAGGTGTCATGATGCACAACTCTAATCCCAGCACTCAGGAGGCCGAGGCAGGAGGATCGCTACAAGTTCAAGTCCAGACTGGGCTACATACTGATTTCAAGGCCAGCCTGGACTACACAGCAAGACCCTGTCTCAAAAAAAATAAAACAAATAAAAATTAATTTTTTTGCATCTGTGCGTATAGGCCCCTGCTTCCTGCCGACCTCCCAGTCATCCTTCAGAGCTCAGCATATGACACCTCTTCCAGAAAGCCCTCCTGGAAAGACAGTCCCGGCCCTCTGAACTGGATCAGATTCCTCTTCCCTCTTTCGGTTCCTGAAGCTGCTTGTGTCTCCCATGGTAATCCAGGCCACACTGTGTTGCTTCCTCTGCTAGGGCTGACAGCCTGGAAAGGACAAATAAGAGAGGAGAGAAGAGAAAGGAAGCAATTGGGTCATATCTTTAAAAATCTAAATGTAAGTGGAGGGCCAAAGGCTCTGCCCACTTCATAGTGTGATGGAAGTGTTTCTGTGCCATGTCTGCAAGTATGAGGGGTGAGTGAAATACACAGTGAACATTTCCTTTTTTAAAATGTATTGCAGGAAAAGTCACATTGCTACGAAGCCCCCTCAAAATTCTCTCCCTCACTTTGAACTCACTTGTCTCATTGTTCTTGCCACTTTCTACAACACTTCTGGAATGCTCTTTCTTGAGAGTCTTTACAAGGTGTGATTAAAAATCTGGTGACTGCTGCTGCCGAGTTCCGTCCAACAGGGAGGCAGCTCGGAAGAACATGAAGGTGTCCTTTTCCACCTTATTCAATGCATCTGGCACCTTGTGACTTCTGGCTCCTCCCCAAAGTCAAGATGACCAGGAAAGGTCAGACTTTTGAACTGATTCAGGCAGCCATGACAGCACAACGAAAGATATAGAAGAGGACTTCGGAATTGCTTCGGAAAGGGCCAAGAAAAATGGGATGAGTGTGTTCGAAGGGAGAGGGAGGATTTTGAAGGCAATTAATGGCCAAAGTGTAATAGAGTTTAAAAAATTTGAAATATTCATCATAGTTTTTGATCACACCTTGTATATTGGGTGGGGTCCCTGCCCCCTTCCTGGAGTCACTGAGGTAGAACAGGATAGGCAGTTCTGCTCAGCAACACTGGGTCTGTGCCCTGCTCCTGGCTGTGCAGGGAGTGAGCCCCCATCCGGGGAGGGTCCTAGGAGGTTGGGTCTCCCGGGGAAGGGGCCTCTGCTCCTTGCCACTTAGATGTCCCGGAGGAGCAGAGACAGGCTCTGCTGTCCTGGGGCGGCGCCAGGAAGGTGGCAGGAGGCCTCTGCCTGTGGCACTGACAGCCCGGGACTGGAGCCAGAGGAGGCCTCCTGGCCTAGCCGTTCAGCTCCACTTACTGTGGGGGTGGTGCTGTTGGGGTGGGGGATCCCACATTCCTGCTCAGGACCCGAGACCCCAGAAGCCTCCGGGAGCAGTAGCCATCTGTCCCCGGGTCAGGGCTGGGGCAGGAGCAGACACACCACCCCACCCCGCCTCAGACTCCCAAAGGCCAGGGCACCTGGCCTCAGCGCCACGGGCAGTGGGTGGCTGGACCCCCGCGCTGGGGCTCCTGGGGGAGCTGAGCTTTGATCCTGGGCTGGACTGAACCCCCATCCCAGGGGGGGCTTGCAGCCCCACTGAGCCCCAGTGTGGTGAAGCACAGGCGGTGAAGGGGGCTTGCAGGTACCCTCAGGACCCCGCTCAACTCTGCCGGCCCTGGGTCCCGGCTGCCAGCCCACAGCCCGCCCGACCTGGCCTCATCCAGGTGGCCTCCCCTCCTGCCCCCTTTTCTCCTCGTGCTACCTCACAAGGTGGCCACCGCCACTGTCCTTCTGGTCATTTGTCTTATGCCTTCAAACCACAAGTTCTGGGGACAATTGCATTCCTGACCTTATCAAATTTTTATTACCCGCTTTTCCCGGACTCACCTGCTCACACAGCTGGAAAGCGGGAGAAGGAAGGTAGGGTAGGCGCTAGGATTTGAACCCAGGCCACCTGAGCTCTGGGCGAAGGGCTGTGCTGCGGGGCGGGAGGGCTTTCCCGACCCTCTCTGGGCACGGCTCACCAGGCCAGCCTCCCCGGCAGAGGGCTGGGCCCGAAGCCCAGAATGGGGCCCTGGGACCCCCTCCCTCGGGCTCGGGACAAGCTGAGGCCGGTGTTCGGGATGTGGCAAGGCCGCCTGCACCTCGAGCTGGGGGCTCTGCCGCCTCGGATGCCCCTGGCTCCCCCAGCCCCAGTTCAGGTGCGTGACGGAGCTGCCAGTTGGGGGGTTCCCAGGAGGCTCCCCAAGCTCCTCCAAGCCCCCAGAAAACGTTCCAGAAAGAGGGATAAAGAGAAGCTCTGAAAAGGAAATGCTTTCTTCGCAGACACTATTTGTGATGCAGGTGGTGACCGTGGGGGCCCCGGGGTGTTAGGGGACAGAGCACCCCATCCCCCCTGGCAGCACCCGCATCTGGACCAGCCCTGCCCCAG